ACGGCGGTACAACATCCCCGCCACTGTGAACGCTACACAGAAGGCAAACCGGATCGTGATCACTAGCCAAGGTACTTGATTGTCAAGGTCATCATATGTCACGCACTGAGTCAACCCGATAGGCAGTAGACCGGCGAACAAGACAGTAAGGAGGCGTAACGCAGTTCCAGGGCATGTGAACGTCTGCTCACTCCTTGCATAGGAGCTTGAGATGTTCCTTTCAGCTTACCGCCAAGATGTACCTTCATCCACGACGTTCACCTCACAAAACCTCGACGGGGTGGGTCATGACCCACTCAGTGGCACTCGAATCACGAGCAACTAACGTGCGAGCTCCTAGGACACGATCCCTAGTAGTATGGACGAGGATGATTACCAGGAAGCGGTATGCATCTTGTGCCACTCGTGAATGAATTGCCTCTCAATGTCCCATAGAATATAGACGCCCAGTACACGATTGGCCTTGCGACAGGTGTTCCCGTCTCTTTCATGCACGTCGGCGACGATCATCAGGTACTGTACGGGTCGCTATCGGGATGCATCTACAGCTGACGTCACATCAAAGGACGGCGGGGCGTATGGATGGCTGGACGTGGTACAGACTCTCGTTGCAGAGGAGAGTCCCCCGACCGTGTGGACCACATCATACGGGATAGTACGCCTTACTCCCTCAATCCATGTTGCCTGCATCGCTCAACGCGTAACGCGCAGGCCGAAAGCGACATATCGACTCTTCTAGCAGTGCGGATTTGCAACGCATACGCCTCGCTAGGCGCGCGGGGTACCTCTGTCCTGTTCGCTTCTGGCGATGGCGGTATCTCCGGTCCTCAACCCGATTCCTCTTGTACGAAGTTTGCGCCGACCTTTCCCTCAGGTTGTCCGTAGTGAGCATCACGGTCTTCGTTCCTGAACGTCGTGCTGATCCGTCCAGCGTGACCTCTGTCGGTGCGACCCAGCACGTCGATCCCGAGGAAGCAGCTTCCCTCTCTTCCGGAGGGTTCTCTAACATATTCTCCCCACTTTTGTACCAGAAGGCAGCGACGGCTAGATATCTGTCGTTCGTGGGACCGTCGGCCAACGCAGGTTGGTACAACGCAAGCGGCCGAGGTTATCCGGTAAGGGCGACATATTCCTCTCCACAAACCCACGTTGTTGACATATTGTCGGTAGGATGTGGCAGCAATCGGTCAGAATGTCGAGTTCATCGCGGATGGCAAGTCGATGACTGCAAATGGCACCAGCTTCTCGAGCCCTATCTTCGCCAGTATCATCGCGTTACTTAACGACGAACTCATGACGGCGGGGAAGCCTCCTCTCGGCTTTCTGAACCCTTGGTTGTACTTGTCTGCAGCTACTGCTCTCAACGACATCACAACCGGTAAAAACCCAGGCTGCGATACTGTGAGCACCAGTTTCACTTCTCGCGTCTTAAGAACCGTCGTTGCTTACCTTGAACGGATAGAATGGCTTCTACACGATGCCGGCTTGGGATGTACGTGGCTCGCTCATTTACGGTTCACCAGTGCACCATCTGAACTACGTATACAGCCGGTTACGGGTCTCGGTAGTGCGGACTATGTCCGACTTCGCGCCGCTGCCGGTCTTTCATAAGACGGTCAAGTCCTGGGTACCGGTGACTTGTTGACTATTGGTTGTGTTTCTTTCTCACACGTAGCCGCCGACTTCGCATTGTAAGGGGCAAGGCTCGAGGGTATATACCTGGCTTAATTGAGCTTACGCATTATCCTGTGCTCGCTGGGCGCCTTGAACGCTTATTAGACTAGACGCATTCGTGAGTTCAACGTGAATCGAGGCAGCATTTCCTACGCGTTGCGTATATTTGTCAGTGATCATCTATGAAGCGCATCGGAAACCAATAGTGTGAGTCAGACGAGCATGGCCCACGCAGTATAATATTCATGGCAAGAAGGTAATGAATAGAGGGCTCGGTGATGTCGGGAAACGTCCATGTAATCAGCACGGATATGGGAGTATGGGTGCCAAAGTTATAAGAGCACAGAATAGACATTACATGTTGACTGATACACTAATGAGGAGGTTAACTAAGCCTGAAAGTTGCCAGATTCTTCAATCGCAGTTTTCGTAGGTGGAGGCCCACGAGTTGGATGCTTCCAGCCGCGGTCGTCCGCAGGCCATGTACAGGAAAGCAAGATCTAGACAAACCGTGAGCTACATGCGAAGGATCGGTGAAGGCCGGCGTCACGCACCAGATTATTTCCCCACGTACATAATGCTACACGCTGACCGAGGGGATATGAGCAAGTAAGACGCAGAGTATGGGACAGAAGCGCACAGTTGTAGTCTCTCGAGTATTTTGACCTCACTCTACACTGAAGGACCGAGGTGAAGTAGATGTGAGGGTAGCAGTGCCGGTCCGAATGACGGGGGGAGGAAAGCCACGTTCACGTCAAGACGCGTCGCCAGGCTCCAGCTCGACTCTTCCTCCCACCCTCGCCTATGCCGTCTCGTTGATGACGATGGCTCATGAAAACGCGCCTGTGTCGCTGCCTTTGCGCACGCGAGCCTGATCACGGATGAGGGTGCTCTACTTGGTCGGCTCGGAGATCCATGGGACAGTTGGAGGCCGTCTATGGACCGGCCTTCGCCGCATTGTCTCCAGCACTTTCCCGACCATCATGTCAGGATAGCATCCTTTAAACATCCTTTGCGCATGCATCCGACTGGGACGAGCTTCCTCACTCCCAGGCTGCGACCGCCCCGGCGCATTTTATGTCATGAGGAGGCATGCTTCAGCGATCGACGATAGGACACGCCACCATCTGGCATTGGCGGCCGCTGTCCTGTTCACGGCTCCTCATGATTCGCATCCTAGCGAGTATGTCTCCGGGTCCAGCTCAGAGAGAATGGATACTACTGGAGCCCTCTATCCAACACTACTGACATAGCCCCCGCGATCCAATACCTGTTTCGGTTCATCTCCGAGCGATACGAGTATGATACGTCTATCAGAATGGTTGCGATATTGTGATTGCCATGCTCAAATATGTACCGAAGGCCGCTGAACGTCGATAGGTCGCCATCAAATCTCCGTGGACAATGGACTCGAAATATTGCCCTTTTCGCCCAATCGACGTCCTTGGGTTCCAGTTCTAGTTCAGTTGCATTGACGATGGTACGCATCACCATTGTACAGCCCTCCCACTTGTCGAAACTCACGAGTTCCACATTGCCCGCAGTTTGATGTTCTGGACACCACGTGTTGTCATGACTAGTTCACGATATGCGAATTACACCGGGAGCTAGTGCTGCGCTGCTGTCGGGTGCCTCGGAATGTATGCCCATTCCTTCTTGACTACCGTCGGCGCTCTTCCTAAGCTCATTGCCGCCTCACAGAACGACCTTCATCTGGTCTGGAATAGCACGCGATCTAAACGTTTCCCTCGCACTCCCCGACCATCTCCATTCGGAACCATGTACCGAGACTCCGACGATCACGGGTGCAAGATATATAAGTACGTTGCTCAGCCTGCGTGCTGTATCGGTCTTCCACCATGCTCTCACCGCTAACAGTCGCTGCTGCAGTCGCGGCACTTTGCATTATCATCGTACAACCCATCCTCCGTCGGCTCTGGCGACAATGGTCTCTTCGTAAGATACCGGGTCTATCGAACACATCCATTATCAGCGGTGAGCTCTGGGGCAATATCTGTCTCGGATTGACCGCTCATATCGAAGCGCTCAGGCAACTTCACGCAAGTGTTTCGAACCGACGCTATCCCTTATCAAGACCGCCTCTTCGAAGAATATGGATCCCTGTTCAGAATTAATGGGTACCTTGGTGTGCGTCAAATACCCTGTTGATACCAGAATGAGCTGATCAGAGTCTAGTCCCAAGTACTCATGACATCTGACCTCGATGCATTACACCACATCATTGTCAAACACGTGGATGTCTTCGACAGTGTTGACTACTTCCTCAAGTGAGCCCTGTCTCTGAACATCGCGTTTTGCACGCGGGCTGATTCCATTGGTGCAGGATGATGGAAATTGCCTTCGGGCGCGGTCTCTTGGCTGCTCCTATCGAAAGTGCATGCTCGGCCCCTGTATAGTGTCCGTCAATCACTCATGTTCTCTCGTAGACGACGTACATCGCAGACACCGCAAACTCATGAATCCCGCCTTCTCTCTCCTTCACGTTAAACGCTTGCTACCACTCTTCAATGCCGTGTCTAGACAGATGCGCGAGATCATGGCAGTAGATATCAGACGGACGGGCCGCCCCGAAACGGATGTCCTCGATTACATGGGCAGGGCTGCGTTGTACGTTGCGACAGTCACTGTTTCTGAGCGTCGAACTGATTAGTCACTTCCAGGGAACTCATCGCGCAAGGCGGCTTCGGACATTCTTTCGGCGCCCTCGATGGAAAGGAAGACATCCTCGGCAGCGCCTTGAAACGCTTCTCGTACGGCTCATTCGTTAGTGTTCGGTGATCATATTCTGATCCGGATCCTCACAGGCCGGCCAGCAGCAAACTCTTCAAATTCCGTCCTATGCTCCCCATGCTCACGCGTACATTCCCACGATGGTTTCTTCGCCGGGTAGGCGAACTATTGCCTTTGCCGGCCCTGCATGAGCTCTTCGATCTTACGGACACTCTCGATAAAATGTCATCAGAGGTCTGGGCTGAGAAGAAACGGGCTCATGCAGAAGGCAAGATTACCAACAGTGTGAGTCAGGGTCGTGACATCCTTAGTCGACTTCGTGAGCCGGATTTCGTCGCCCTATACGTGGTCCCGCCGACTGATCCCATTGCCTACAGTCGAGGAAAATGACAAATCCGAACTGAAAGACAGGCTACCTGAGAATGAACTTGAAGCACAGATCAACACGTTCCTTGTGAGTGCTCTCTCATGGAGGGTCAGGAAGCTCAGGAAGAATCTCAACCGTGTTCTCATCCAGTTTGCCGGAACCGATACGACCTCGAACGGACTTTCGCGCCTCCTAAGTCTTCTCGCTCAATACCCTGAAGTTCAGGACAAGCTTCGCGAGGAATTGGTCATGGCCGGAGCGCCAGACTCCGATCTTGACTATGATACATTGGATCGCCTGCCCTTCCTCGAGGCCGTTTGTCGCGAGACTCTACGCTTGTTCCCGCCTGCTCGCTTCGTGCAACGCCTGTAAGTTCATTTGCGTTCCAATTTTGCGGGGCTAGGCTCATCTCAACTTGATCCACAGAGCTGGGAAGGATCACCTACTGCCACTACGCAATCCCATCACAGATACAGACGGTAAGCTCGTGAGCGAGGTCTTCGTACCGAAGGGAACGGTGGTGGTATGTAGCATTGCGGCGGTCAATCGCTCGAAACAGATATGGGGTGCCGACGCACATGAATGGAAGCCCGAGCGCTGGTTGAGCCCGCTACCGCAGTCTGTATTGGATGCACACATACCCGGAGTCTACGCCAATACGCTGACGTTCTCTGGGGGATCGCGGGCCTGCATGTGAGTTGTTCGTTACCCATCATTCCGAACCTCAGGCTGTTCTGATCAATGCTAAAGCGGCTTCAAATTCTCGCTACTGGAGATGAGTAAGTGTCGCTCGTTTGTACCGCAAGACGGAGAGCTGATGTCCCACTCCCGAGCAGAGTCTATGATTGCTCAATTCGTCCCTTCGTTTGAGTTCAAGCCATCGGAGAAGCACGCGATCTCATGGTGGTTCAGCGGAATTACTTCTCCAGTAGTGGAAAACTCAAAATCCTTCCAAGCACAGTTGCCCCTGCGTGTAACACGCATTCGATGATCAAGATGAATCCTCAATTGAGAAATGAGGGTTTGCTCTGGGACCAATAAAGCCTCTATCCGATGCGGACCTCTTGTATGATTTGCTACCTGCATATTGCTCCCTTCAACTTCGACATCTATCGTATCTTATCAAGAGTGTATTCAAAGATCGCAAAGGCGATGGTTTCTCTCCACATGATAGAGGCGGTGGTCGGCGGGAGCGGCGCGTGGGGTGGTAGAGCGTGAAGGACTATACCACTAGGGTTAGGGCTGGGAGCACGTCGCGTCGCGTTGGCGTCGCGTCACCGGCGCGTCTTGTCTCAATCCATCATCACACCGCCTCAGGCCTCAGGCCCTGACTTCGCTGCTTAGGGCATGTCTACAATAACATTTTGTGCGATGCTTGCGCCGAATGTGTCGGTGTTTCTGTCATGCCGAGCTCAATGGCTATGACCCGTCCTTGATAGACGCCCAGGCAATCGATGCGCCCGCCGCAAGTGAGCGCCCTGCGGCAACCTATAGGTCCGTGCTAAGCGGTATATGAGTTTGTATAAGTATGTACGCTCCCGCTTCTGCTCACGCACAGCATTGCCGTATGCCGATGGGGCAGCCGATAATACAGAAGTACCTGACGAAGAACCACTCAAAGAGGCGTCGTCGTGCCGAGATCTGGTGAACGCCCGCCGTCAGCGTGCAATTGAGTATCTTTGGAATTGACCAAGTACATAGACTTGCCATCGAGGATGGCTCCACCATGAGTCTTCTCTTAGTATGACATAACTTGATTACGGCATGGAGTTAGGATCGGGTACAGACCGAGAAGAGCGCAGTGAGCTTGCGAAATGTATCTGCGCATCACAACCTCCACCATCATGCTATTGTTGGTTGTGCATACAGTGCATCCGAAGACGACGGATCGGGGCGTACCGCCTATTTACATGTAGACTTCTGAGCATGTATCCGATAGGCACAAGAGACTACCAAGAACTCGAGGTACCATAGTAAGGGACTGTGGTCTTGGGGTTCTTGTCATCCGCTGGCACAGTTGCACACCCGGCATCAGCAGGGTGGCGAAGAGCACACATTCCACCAGGGCAATTCACCACGGTATCGTGTGTAACTCGAACTGCTATCTTATGCATAGCATGATCGTCTTTTGTGCTTTGCCTGGGGTAGAATGACGAGTCGCCGGCGGGCAGACGCGACAACGGTCGATCGGAGTGGAGGCTCAGAGGTCGCGGATGAGACACAGACTGTACAGCATTCGAACGGTAGAGCTTGAAGTGGGTCTGAAGTATGATGAGGACAAAGATGATGCCCTGTTGAATGTAAGATTAGCGATGGTACAATTTTCTCAGGATAGAGTCGGTCAACTCACCACTAATGGCATAATGAGGTCAACTGCGACGTATTGACCTTGCGACCCCTTAACGTAGGCGATGAACAGGGCAAGAACAGCCGATGAATACAGCATGCCGCTCTCTGCAACGATGACCAAGACCCATATCAAACCTCCTTGCTCATGATCGCGAGACCAAATATCCCGTTTGCGTGTATGCGACCAGATGCGCCATAGAATCCCGGCTATAAATGCATTCACGTCGTTGAGAAGGGACCAATCACCATCGATGTAGCGCGTACCTGTGCACATCGCATTCATGCACATTGTGAGAATGAAGAAGGCTTTGATCCATTTCGAAGCCGTGCCGAAGATGGTGGACCCGGGCGTGGCCAACCCTTCGTAGCAACATACTACGATCCCAGTTGCTGCAGGATATATTAGCACGGGAGTGGAAACAGAGATAGTCTTCACACCGAGGTTTGCTAGAAGCATTACAAGGAAGGGAATGGCCACCCACACGTTGCGTGCGTATACCATGTAGAGACGCCAGATCTACCCATTGAAAGTCAGAACAAGCATGAGACACAGGTACCATCACTCACCAGGACCGCATCGCCGACAGTTGTTTGAACAACGTAGAGGGAATCCATCGCTACGTGCATTGGCGCGGAAACGTTCTCGAAGAACCCTCGAGCGCCTGCGGCGGTGTGTACGGCGATAGTGAAACCGCGCTGTGCCCTCACGAAGGCGAGGAGTAAATGCTAGCACACAACTTAATCAGCCTCCACGAGGCGACATCGGCCGTACGATAGCTTACCGCTGTTGCAACAGTGAGCATCATTCCCGATACAGGTACAATCCAACGGCTCCTGAGGGTATCCTTCGTCTTGCGCTGCTGAACAACGGTCACGACAAAGAGTGCACCGAATACACCTAGAAATGCGTAAAGATGATATCCACCGGTAACTTGACACAAGTACGTACCATAGAGTAGCGACTCAAGAAAGAGAGCAAGCAGCGTGGCCGTATCGAGCGCTATGTCCGACATAATGCAAGCAGCGATAACGCAGGTGTGTGGCCCCGTGAGGCCGAGGTTCCCGTAGGGGTGACGAAGTCTCGGTCTGTCCTAGGATTACGGAATCTGCATAATATACTCACGGAAGAGCTGATCGGAGAGGAGGCTGACGATGTTCCCTCGATCGATAACTCCGATACATCTACCTGGTACTGGGGGCCAGAGTTGGATCAAGGGATATCTGCACGCGGGAACCTCATGAGTGAGCGTTGCAACCAATCACAATGCGTCTCAGTGCATCAATATGGAGCAGCACGGAGTCACTATTGCGTATCAGTTTGGGCGAGGTCGGCGGGATCGTCCAAGCTTGCAGTGGTTGGGGTTACTGAAAGGGAGACCCAATGTCGCGTACTGGAAATGCTTAGGCAGTCTCTCTCGTGAAAGGTTAAACAGAGGCACTGGCGCTACAACTCAAGTAGAAGGTATCCCCAGCTTAACGAGACGTACGATGATAATCATCGAAACAGATAGATGAGATTTCAATGCAACTCACTGGCGAGTGCGCCGGTTCCGAGCGGTTCCGACGTCCGGTGTGAGAACCCGCGTTCGCAGATCGCCGACGGTCCAATAGTGCTCGCGCCCTCTGTCTCCTCCCACCAACTGAGTGCGGACTGCGGGTAATCGAGCCCTGCAGCGGGCTCATATGTAGTCTACGTTTGATAGACGCACAGCCCCCTGTGACTCGCTCATGGATGAATTGAACCCTCCGTGGTCGACGGACTGTAGGTGATCGAAGAACGTCAACATCCACTACCGGTGGCAGGTATCTGTACTCCTGCTCAAGACTTATTATCCACGGTTGATTTGTGAGATCAGTATTGAAGGTTTTCCGTCATTCCCAGAACTACTGACTGCAGCAACAAGCGGAACCTATGGCTAGCCACTCAAACGCCAGCGCTCTTGAAGGCTCGGGAACCGACCTCCGCTCTTGTAGCGACAGTCCTACAACATATGCAGCTCACGAACGGGACCGTGCTCGGAGTACATGCATGCCAATTAGCGCTCTTTCGCGTCAATAAGCAGTCGCTCGAACAAGATAGGCTATGACACTTCCCAAACACTTCCAACTCGTGGGCCTGAGGCTTCCTATTCGCCCAGACTATCGTCGTCTGATAGGGTGGCTATGACGCAGGTCCTAGGAAACATGAAATGTTTGCTGTCATGCAGTACGCTTGATCCCGGAGGTATTCCCCCGATGGTACTTCAAATGTTCTCTGAAGCGCTGATGCATAGCAGGAGTGAGGAACGTAGCACACAACATCGAGCTCTCCACATGCACACACCAACATGTCCTGAGTCTTAGTGCCACGCCATACATCTCACAGCTTCCAAGTGGCAATCGGTCATGAGATGGCTGCTGCGAACGCTGACAAGGCATATCGTTGTGCTACGTTTGGTATCGACTGCTGATCTTGGTGTCACCCCACTGCCGCCGAGAGCTACGCACGCTATACCGCAAGGAAATTTCCTGCCAATGACTCACGGCTTCTCAGGATACGTGCCACCGCGATTCATGTAGGGGTGTCGATGCGAGGCGACTACGTGAGTGTCCGTCGCACAGGAGTGAACTAATGGGATCATTCTCTCCGGTTCGCCCAAACTGTCCTCACCCCACTTTGCGCTCGACCGAGGACGGACACTTTCATACGGGAGATCTTTTCGTTTAGGTCAATGGCAAGTATGTGTCGATGGGCCGCAGCGACGGATCATTGATCAAGAGCGAGAGCAGTCATCGCTATGATACTAAGTACGTGCGCAAGAGTCTTATCGGCATCGCTTCCTTGACCAGATAAATTGGGCCACGAACGACGACGTTCTTCAGATGGGCGGCCAAATCATTCACGAATGTATAGTAGTCGGACAGAGCCGGCCATCTCCGGTTCTTTTCGTCGAGGCGGCCGAGGCGGACGTGAATCTGGAGAAGTTGAAGCGGGAGATCCTGCGACATAAGCCCGCTCTCCACTCACGTAGGCAGTTGCACGAGCGCATCATCGATGCTAATATGGTCGTGATGGTGCAGCGTGGCTCTCTTCCACGCACGTCGACGAGGGGGAACGTTCAACGCCGGATGGCCAAAGCTGAGAGGTATAAGCCTGAGGACGTGCTGGATGAGATTTTCTCAGCCTGAAATACTATCGTGCGAACAGATAGTCCTACCTACCTGAATCCCTTTTCATTATATCAATGGCTAATGTGTATCATATCGACCATATTCTTCTGATTAATCTCGTGGTCGCTCAATCAGTGGGGTGAAGTTCGAGAGTGAACAGCAGTCAAACAGGCTTCTGGAGTATTATCACGACAAGGGGTGGGCCTTCGAGGCAACGATTCAAACGCGCATGCATCATCTGAAGATCTGAAAGGGGCCTTACGAGGCAAAAGAAACTGCTGATAGACGGGCTGCTTCGTGGCCCGAAGAAACAAGAGTTGTGGCCTGCGCGCCTTGAGGGCCGTGGGACCGGTGGTGCACGTGGTGTTCGAAGTGTTTCCGTCCGGGGTGCGCGCCTCAGCAAGTTGTTCTCCAACCTCGTCCACCTCCTCCGCTCTTGCCTCTCCCTTCACGAACTTTGTCATGGTGGGTAGATCGAACATATTTGACTGTGCTGGCTCTGATACTTTGGACAGTCTGTCACGCCCGCCGTCATGCGTCGGCTCATGCGCGAGCTCACCGAGCTTCGCACCAATCCGCCTGAGGGCATCCGCGTTGTCACTAACGAGGAGAATATGCTTGATGTTACCGGTATAATTGCTGGACCGGGTGTGTACTAGCTGCTGGGTATTTTTTATGCTTGTGGTTGACGTGTTTTCGCAGAGGGGACACCATACGCCGGTGGCTACTTCCGTGTCAAGTTCAGGTTTACTGAGGAGTTCCCGGCCGCGCCACCAAAGTGTACATACGAACCACATCTCTGTCTCGTGCATGACTGACGCTATATGATCAACAGGCTGGTTTGCCACGAAGATTTTCCATCCGAACGTGTCTGGCGCAGGAGAGATTTGTGTCAACACCTTGAAGAAGGATTGGAAGAGCGAATATGGAATCGGCCACATACTTGTCACTGTCAAGTGTTTGCTCATCTACCCGAACCCGGACTCTGCATTGGACGAGGAGGCAGGAAAGTTGCTGCAGGAGAACTATGAGAGCTATTGCGCTCGCGCGAAGCTCATCACGAGTGTACATGCGACACCAAAGGTTCGTTCATGCTCCCCTGAAGCGAACCACACCATGCTGATCGATACATTTTTGCAGGCTCCTCCGCCCGAATTTGCCAACTCGGCATCCACCTCCACGCCCGCGCCACCCGCACACACCGTCGTTTCTGTACCCTCAGCCGGCGCACCCAAGTCCAAGTCTGCTGTCACGGTATCACATGGGCAACCACTGCAACAGTCAGCATCAAATACTCTGGCCATCGCCGACCCGCTGGCTGCCATGGAGAAGGAGAAGAACGGGACAAGCGCCCGCGCCAGTCCCGCACCACTCGGCAACTCGGACTCTACGAATGTGGCTGTGGCACCCAAGGCCGTCAAGCGCGGCGCGACGACCGGCGTTGTCGGCGCCGAAAAGCGCAAGAAGGCGTTGAAGCGCCTGTAGCCCTTCGCCCGATGTGGTCGAGGAGTATCTGAGGACAGTCATGATCTTTACCAGCTTTCCGAGTTTGTCTAGCTTTGTTGCGTAGTACATACATACCTGCTCCATTCCCGCCTGTTGTGTTTTTCTACCTATCCATAGTCATTTAGCGCCTCGGACCATATGTACACTTATACATCGCATCACTCGAGAACTCGATCTGCTGTATTGAGCTCGCAATTTCACTTGACCGCTCTTCCAGCGTCTTCCAGGGGCTGGATGGGGTGTGGGTCCCCGGTGGTGACGCGCTGATTGGATCCGGCTGCTACGGGCCGGAGACGCGTCCTAGTCCGAGAGTCGCGTTGAAGCGCGCGACGCGACGCGCTCCATTCCTCTTTGCCTTTGACCACCACCACTCCCCCAATGTCGCGCGTGCTCGCAGAACTCAAACGTTCAGAGACACCCGTTAAGGCCGAGCACTCTCCATCACCCAAACCCGAGCCTGGTCTCGATGTCAAACCGGATTTACGCGGTCGGAAACGGCTGAGCGACATGACTCTTGACGACCTCGACGACCGCGACACAAAGCGGCCTGCGCGGGCAGATAGCTCCCCAGAACCGGAGGAGTCTGGCAACTTGCCACCTGAACTGCTCTCACATATTCGCTCTACTTGTAAGCATGCTGTATATCTATTTGCGCCACAAAACTCGATCTAAGCGCCCGTCTTGTAGCGAGCTCTATTCAGCCGGCTGCGGGCGAACCGACAAATATGGAGGCCGCAGTACAAAGCGGCATTGCATTGTTACGCGCTGGAGATATACGACGGGGACTAGGAGGAGGAGGCTTCCGTGTCAACTATGACCGTGAAGGTCCGCTCACGCAGATGGATTATGGTGGACCGGACCAGGAGAAGAGGTGAGCTTCTTATTACAGGTGTATTGTTGACGAACGCTCATATGAACGTTGCATAGGCTGGCAGAGTTTGTGTCGAAGACTCTTGACCATTTCGCTTCGCAGATGACCATCGCGCAGGGTATGCAGTATCTGGGTCTTAAGACGTGAGCGGTGTCCTACTTGTGGTGTACGACGCGGAGCTGATGCAGTGCACAGGCAGAGAGACTTGCTGCCTGGACTAGAAGTCCGCCTACTACCACATCAGATCATTGGCGTTGCATGGTATGCCCTTTCTTGTACCCTACGCCCTTCAAGCGCTCAAAGCGCACAGGATGCTCATGCAAGAACGCAATGACCACGACCGCGTGTTCGAGATTAAGAGTGGAGCTCATAGGCCGAAGTGGATGGGCGGCATCCTTGCGTACGTCTTTAATGTTCCCGATGTGTCTCACAGGCTAACACCAGCATTGTAGAGACGAGATGGGTCTCGGTAAGGCTACTTCTCGACCACAAAATCGGGTAGACGCTAATGTTGCGTAGGCAAGACCGTGCAGATGATTGCGACTATGGCCATGAACATGCCTGGTATTGACGAGGAGATCAAAACGACGCTCATCATCGTTCCCGCTGCACTATTACACCAGGTAAGGTCCTGTCTCTGAACGCTGTCGACTGCCACTAACGCCCACATGCGCAGTGGAAGGAAGAACTTGAGAGCAAGGCTAATGGCCTCTTCGACGTTCACATCCACCATGGCAAGGACAAGCTGAAGAGCGTCGAAGCCATGAAGTCCAAAGACGTATGAACACTCCTATCATACTATTCTTCAATATCTGACGGGTATGTACGCAGGTAATCCTCACGACGTACCAGACCATCAACCTCGAATACACGGTACCGCCCGACGTTGAAGACGAGGAGCGGCTGGCGTATCTCCAGCAAGGCAACGCCGTGCTGCCCAAGATGAAGTGGTACCGCGTCATTCTCGACGAGGCCCACTTCGTTCGCAACCGTTCAACGAACGCCAGCAAGACCGTCGCGCTCGTCCGGTCCAAGTACCGCTGGATGCTCACAGGTTCGTTTCCGCATATCTACCGCCAACACACTCGTCAACTCCCATATAGGAACGCCCATCATCAACTCTCTTGCTGACATCTACGGTCTTCTGCGCTTTGGAAAGTTCCGTCCCTGGAACGACTGGATGTCCTTCAACGACCACGTCGCTCGAGTACAGAACGACGACGCACCTTTGGCTGGCGCTCGTGCGCAAGAGATCATCAAGCCCATCCTTCTTCGTCGCTCCAAGAACGCTATGCTTGAAGGAGAGCCGCTGCTCAAGCTTCCGCAGAAGCATATCAACATCGTCACGGAGGAGTTCTCCGCGGAGGAGCGCGAGGTACGCCTCTGAGGATTATGTTCAGTTCGAGATAGTGCTGATATTGAGATGTAGATATACGACCATCTCGAAGGACGCGCGAAGATGCAGATCAACAGGTTCATTCGCGCTGGGACGCTTGTCAAGAACTCGGCGTTCGTGCTTGTGCTGATTCTGCGCCTTCGTCAATTGTGCTGCCACCCTAATCTCATTCTGGTATGTGATCCCGCAATATTTCCGTCTGCGACACTGCTCACCGCGTTGTAGGACCAAGCTGGCGACGGCGAGGATGGCACTGAGATGATGTCGACCGATGCGGATAAGGAGGTCAGTCGCGCGACGAAAGAGATGGGCAAACGCTGGGTTGAGGAAGTCAAGCGAAAGTAAGCGCTACAGGACCCTTGAAAGCAGTGTGATGCTGATTCACGCCAACAGCTTTCTCGGACGCGCCCGCTCCAAGCAACTGGATTGGACGGACGGGTCGAGCGATGCGGACATGTATTGCCCGCAGTGCTCGGACCCGTTTATCGGGACCAACGGGCGCATCTTGGCCTGTAAACACGAGATCTGTCTTGGTAGTTATCCTTCCTGCACCGCGTATGGACCGCGACCTTACCGTTCACCTAGACTGTTTGCTCAACCTGCAGAACTCGAACATCGAGCATAACGGCGTCTTCGGTCAAGGCGACGAGAAGCAGAATGCTCAAGTTGAGAAGAAGTTTGAGGAGGCTTATGCCAAGGGCCTTCGTCCTTGTACGTCGCTGCGTTCTTTGACTTACCATTACGCGCTGAACCAATCGTAACTGCAGGTCCGTTCCCGAAGTGTGGCGCCATGAATGACCTCCGTCCGCATCGCGTCTTCCTCAGCAACGCCTTCGAGCCCTCCGAAGACGAGATCGAAGATTTCGCCGCCGACGAGCGCGCAAAGAAGAGCGCGGCCCGCTCGCGCGGTCGTGCGACTGGTCCTCCCGTCAAGGCTGCACCCGCCCCAGTGAAGAGGGAGCAGAAGAAAGTCACTCTCGAGACCCTCGAACTCTCGGACCTCAGCGAGTCGGACGACGATGATATGCCTGACATCAGCTCTATTGTGCAAGCCTCGGCGAAGAAGGAGAAGCTGACACCGACGAAGAAAGAGAAGGGGAAGGTTAAGGATGAGTTTGGGTTCGACGATATGGAGGACGAGGATGAGGACGAGCTGGACTCGGACGAAGAGTACGTTGCGCGTCCATCGTGCGGATGAGCGCTTGAGGAACTCATCATCTTGACAGCGTGTTTGCCAAAGGCAGGAAGGGCAAAGCTCCCGCCCGTGGACGCAAGAGCAACGCGAAGGACGGACAAGGCCCCAGCAGGGACATGCTCGATACTTGGCGCCGCGGCGACTACGATCTTGAGCCCAGCACCAAGATGCTCGCGATGATCCGTCTCTTGAAGGAGGCAGAACATGCTGGCGACAAGACCATCGTTTATTCACAGTGTACGCGCTCGTGCCTGCTAGCGCTCATAGCCGCTCATGCTCACGTCATCTAGGGACGACCATGCTTGACCTTGTTGAGCACTTGTTCAATCGTTATGGTATCCGGAGCCTGCGCTACGATGGTAGCATGACCCGCGAGAACCGCGAGAGGGCCATCATCGAGTTCCGTCATGCAGGTAGCCCCAAGGTCATCCTCATCAGGTGCGTCACCCTTCGTCTGCGCCTTAACGCGATGCTGACGGTCGTAAAGCACCAAGTCTGGCGGTGTCGGTCTGAACTTGGTTACTGCGAACCGCGTCGTAAACTTGGACCTGAGCTGGAACTATGCCGCCGAGAGCCAGGCTTATGACCGTGTGCATCGGCTGGGCCAGGACAAGGAGGTCTTCATCAGCCGTCTGGTTGTCGCCAATACCATAGAAGAGCGGTACGTCTAGCTCTTCAGCTCTGCGTCTACTATGGCTGACGATAGTTGTAGCATGCTGCGTCTGCAGGACGTCAAGACGGGACTTGCGGATGCTGCGCTCGGAGAGGGTTCAGGTCTCAAGCTGAACAAGCTCAGTGTGAAAGAGATAAAACATGTACGTCGCCTAGGAGCCCTCGTAATGTTCTCGTTCACTCATGCCATCTCCAGCTCTTCGGTATCACACGCCTACCCGACCCACCGACCGCGGATCCCAACCAAACGACTATGAACCGGCAAGCCCAGCTTCAGCCTCGTTAGGCCCGGCTCATACTG